GAGATGAAAGGTAGAGATGGCCCCACTGGGCGTGCCAAATTTGTAAACACAAATTTTCCTGCGATAAATGAAACAAGAACATGTTTACAAAATAATATTTTGTATTAATTTTGGGGTTATAATCTCTTTTACAATTTGATCTTCAGATTCTATCTTTGTAAGGTGTGGATTGGTTATTGATCCAAAGGGTCGTCGGGACTTGATCTAGGGATGAATAGTGGTGCATATTTGTTGATGTTGTTGATCAAAAGGTTCGCTGGGGCTTGATCTTAGGATGAACGGATCTTCAAGGATCTTCAGGGCTTGATCTTGATGAACAGTTGTGTGGATTTCTTCAAAGGCCGTTGGGCTTGATCTTGATGAACGAGGATGAACAAATCTTCAAAGGCATTCGGGGCTTGATCTTGATGAATAATTATGTGGATTTCTTCAAGAGCCGTTGGGCTTGATCTTGATGAACAGTTGCGTGGATTTTTTCAAGGGCCATTGGGGTTGATCTTGTTGAACGAGGATGAACGGATTTTCAATGGGCTTCGGGGCTTGATCTTGATGAACAATGAACGGATCTTCAAGGGGCGCATGTGCCCGAGAAGCTGCTCATATTGTACATCGCCGTTTAGGAAAGTTCAGTTGGAGCACTCTTGGCATAAGAAAATGAATCCCATAAAGAAGTTGTGCTTTACTAACTCAGTCTAACTCTCACCGGCACTGAGTTGAACTACTCCCCGATAGAAAAGATGTGCCTTGCCTTGGTGTTCGCCATTTAAAAGCTCAGACATTACTAGCATGCTTACATCATCCACTTGGTTGCTAAAGGAAAGATGGTTTCCCAGCAACTCATGAAGAAATTCATCCAACTAGAATGCTCAGTGTGGTCGCTAACCTTACACCCTGGTCAGATCATAATCAGAGCCCACGAAATATGTATCAGTGTCAGGTTCTCTTCTATTTCACCCTCCTGTCTGTCCTTGGTTATTGTTCAACAGAAGTTCCATCTTGTATAAATTTTTTGGAATCCTACTGCTAAATTTTATTAAATAGCTTTGGTGTTTGAATTGTAGGTGGCAAAACAAACAATGGCCTTCTCTTTACAAGGACTTTGCAATCGTGCAGATCAAAAGTTGTACCATCTTCAGGTTGGTTCTCTTTGTTATTTTGTTATTCAGTAGAAGGGATCAAGGAAATAAATTATGAAAAGCTTTTTTCTAGAACACTTACACAACTTTTTAAGTACTAGTCAATTAAGATCATACTGAGGCGTTTTTTGGATTATTGATTAGCGTTTGGGTGGAGTTTTGTTCTCTAGTTTTAATGTTCTCAGTAGTTATTCCCTACCAAGTATTTTATATTTTTTTACTCACTGTTCATTGTTACATTGAAAAATGGGGCATCCCCAGACTCCTCAGTCCCCTATTGTACTCACAAGCACCTATAAGAAGTACTGCATCGATGAATACCCAACAGGCATAAATGCCATTGTTGCTGTACTGTCATGTACTGGGTGAGAAATTTATACACACTAAGCCTATATGTAGTTTGTTTCGTTTTTTAGAATTTATTAATATTTTCTTCTTTCTTATGGTACCTAGATATGATATGGAGGATGCCATGATTCTGAATAAGTCATCTGTGGATCGTGGAATGTTTCATGGGCATATATATCAGGTTTCTTCTTTCAATATCACATGATGCTACTTTCCTATAAAAATATAGATAAATAAATTAGATTGGATGAAACAACTTTCTTTCTTTTTTTTTTTTTTTTTTTCCCTTGTGCTCTGCTTTTTATTAATTTATCACTGGTGCTTCTTGAGCTCAATATACTAGATCATTTGTTTTTTTTTTCTTTTGTAATGTTAGAGGTCAAATGCATATTTTTTAATATTAGTCCCTTTCTTTAGAATCTTTTACAAAATCGAGTTTTATCTATTGTTGGATCTTTATTTTACGTTCCTGTATAGCTTGTTTCGAGAAATATGAGTTTGAGTCTCAAAGGCATATTACATATTATAAGAAGTGAATTGTTATTAGCACTCCAAATATCTCATTTGACACTCCAAACTTTCTATAATTAGAAAGAAAAATACATTTGTGAGGAGTGTAGAATGAGATTTTTTTAGTGCTAATAACAGTTTCCTATAAGAATATGCACTTAAAATCCATGCAGCTTAGTACTTTATTCATATTACCAAATTGGAGTCCACACCAAAATTTCTAAATAATCACCCTGCAGGGCCAAACAAAGTGATGGAGATTTTGTTCTTGATGGAATCTGTTAGAAAATCTTGTATTCATTTGGCCAAATGCGCTTTGTATACATGAATTTATTCTTGTTTCTTATTGTATATGTTGAAAGTTTTTACAGAAATTCCAGGAATTTTATTTTTCTTTTATTCTTTAATGCTTTTGTATGCCAAATCATTGTCTTTACTAATGCATATGGTTTTCTTCTTGGACCTAAATACCCTTCCTTACCAAATGATGTGTTTTGGCAGACAGAAACAATAGACTTCTCTGATCAAAAGAAGAGGTCGGATAACACCCCAACATTTTTTAAGAAAAGTAACGTCCATAAAAATCCTTTGATCGATTCAGATGGTCTTCCTTATGTTGGTCAGGTTAGCATTCATTTCTGGATTTGAGTTTCTGCTCTATATTCTCTTCTGCTTTACGTTGAACCCAGATAGTTGGGATCATGGCAGTGCAACTGTTGACGTGATATTTGTCCGGATGCAAGCTTCTGGCCTGTCGACTGACTTAATGATTGGTGTCCTAATGCGGCCTCTGGCCAGTCGACGGACTGGAAGTGCAAGTTTTTCTCTGGCACCAGTTTATTGCTTAGATATTAGGTCATTACTTTTGAGTTTTTTCGGAGTTCAAAACTCGACAGTTGAAGCCTAAAATCTCATACAATATAAATGTATATATAGTACATATGTGGTTGCAACTCTGTACTTACTTTATCCTTTGTTGCATTTCAGACGGTAAAACCATGTGAAGAATACTGTAGCTTTACCAATGACACGCTCCATAAGCCCAGAGCCATCAAACGGAAAGGTACAGAACCCGTTATAGTTGACTATGTTGCTATTGAAGGGAAGAAGCTCCTTCAGAAGGTAAGTGGACAACATTTACTTTGGTTGCTGCAAAGGTACTTGAACCTGAACAATTTAATTTTTACTGTATGTTGTTAACAGTTGCTGAAAAATTGCACTACATGTACACTCCTGTAGTTAAACCCCTTAACCTTGAACATTTCTTGTCACGGGGCGGTAGCTTACATGGACATTATGTTGACGCAACACCACTTGCTAGTTCAAAGGACGCTAATGGAGAGACTGGACCAAAATCCAAAACCCTTGTTGACGAACTTGGCGAAACGTTGAAGGTTAAGGGGTTTAACTACCATGGTGTAGAGGTTCTGTACAGCGGGGTTTACGGCACAGAACTCACATGCGAGATCTTTATTGGCCCTGTTTATTATCAATGACTACAACATATGGTTTCAGACAAATTTCAGGTAAAGATTTGACCAAATTCAAATTTTGTAACTACACGAGCTTTCAAGATTTTCTCAGTGTCCCATTTTTTATCATCAGTTGCCTTACATGGGGTATTCAATTTGGCGTGTAGGTACGCTCCACTGGAACGGTAGACCAGATCACTCGCCAGCCTATCAAGGGACGAAAGCGAGGTGGTGGTATATGTTTTGGTGAAATGGAGAGGGACTACATGCTTGCGCACAGGGCAGCGTATCTGTTGCATGACAGGCTTCATACCTGTTCTGATTATCACATTGCCGATGTATGTTCCTTATGTGGAAGCATCCTAACGTCCTCATTCGTCCAACCAAAACAGGTTGCGCGTGCGGTTTCAGGAATTCCCTCTGTAAGAGCTCCCAAGAAGGTCATCTGCCATGCTTGTAAGACAAGTATAGGGATGGAGACAGTTGCAATGCCTTGTGTCTTCAGATATTTAGCTGCTGAGTTGGCATCAATGAACATCAAAATGACTCTTCAGACAAGTAATGCAGCGAAAGCTTGATATCACGTTCTTAGGAACGAACAACCAATGTAAGATGGTACGGTGAAATTGATATAGCGGGCGGTGGCAGGACAGTTCGCACAAGGAGCATTGGGTGTGGGAATCGCGTCGCAAAAATGGCCGTCGATGCTGGGGATTGGTGAGAGGCTCCTGACTTGTATTTATATGTTGGCCAAGAGGGTTTAAGTTCTCTTCAGTTTTCGGATGAACACTGAGATAACTCTTAAAGCTCTCAACATTCTTTTTTCTCCTTTGTTGGCATGCGTCCAAGTGGAATTACACTTCTTTTTTATAACTTTGACAAGAAACCTTGTTACAGAAAAAATGGAAATTGATTTGCACAGGTTTTCATGAAAGCTGAGGACCTTATGGCTGCTTGAGGTTTACACGAGAGGTTTGAAGTTCAAGTTACATGAATGCATTGTTTTAAAAATCTCCGTCTAGTGCAGCCTAGGTCCCATTTAAGCGTTAGTCGGTTGGCTAGCAATTCATTAGTCCTAGACATTTAAAAATTAAGAAATGACGCCTAAACTTGCTTAGGTGCCCACCTAAACACTAACCTAACTTTAATTTTGCGTTTTATTTTTCCAAGACTTCAAGAAACTTGTTGAATATCCACTCGAAAATGTAATGCCCTTGGAAAACATTTCTTTTCTTTGTAGCACTCTCTCCCCAGTCATGTACCAGGAACCTTGTCCAGTTCCAGATCGTTTCCCATAGAACTAAATCGCGTAGTAAACCAGGGTTCATCTACCCGGTAATTTCTGTTTTTGTTGGTTATCATACACCATGAAGCTAAAGGCCTACAGCGGCTCTGCCGCCGCTTTCCATCCGAGGGGATAGAAATGGGAGCGCAGGGACCACTTGGTGGTACCGGCAAGCTTCGTTACGCACGTAATTGAGTTCAAACTAATCAATCACCAATCTCAATTATCGTTTTCAAGCAATATTTAATATATTACGAAGACCGTTGGAACCAATCTTATATAAGTCTAAATCACCAGAGTCCCAATAGAAGTTTCAAAAACTACTGCAACAAGATAAGCCTTACCGTCTCATTTCACTACGAAAGAGGATTCACAAAAGGAATTTGACAGATTATTTACCACGGAAAGACTTCAGGAGGACAAATAATCTCCCTTCCCATCAGATCAAACATGAGAAATACACCGATTATAACTCGTCTTCCTACATCCCTTCTTGCATCGTCTTGTCTTGAGTGGCACTGGCATGTCATCAATAATTTTTCCCCTGAAAAAACCAATAACCATGAGCTATCTAAAATTTACAGAAAATTCCATCAATTTCTCATCTCATGCTCAAATTGTAATGATACTCCACAAGTTAAAGATTCATAAACAGTGGATATCTTACTTGGTTAATCCCTGTCTGTCCCACAGGTGCATAGTTACTTTGTTGGAACCTGTCATCTCCTCCATGCCCAGGGTATCTCTGGCCATTACCAGATGCTGGTCCTTGGCCATAAGCCCCAGGGTTTGGTCCTTGTCCATAAGCTCCAGTGCTCGGTCCTTGTCCATAAGATCCAGTGCTCGGTCCTTGCCCATAAGCTCCAGTGCTCGGTACCTGCCCATAAGCTCCAGTGCTCGGTCCTTGCCCATAAGTTCCAGAGCTCGGCCCTTGCCCATAAGTTCCAGAGCTCGGTCCTTGTCCATAAGCTCCAGGTGTTCCCTGTCCTTGAAATCCACTCAAACCTTGTCCACTAGTATCAGCATGTGGGGGGCCATAATTCCTATTTTCTCCCCTAAATCCCTGCTGACCAGGAGGAGCATAACTCCTCTGATCTCCTTGTGGGAAGTTCCTGTGTTCTTCAGGACGATAACCTTGCTGCCCACCTTGGCTGTAATTGCCCTGATATGAAGGTACTGGATCTCTGCCTGGCTGATAAGCATCCCTCGCTCCAGGGGTATTCACTGGAATAGGACCTGTGTTCTCTCCTTGTCTTGGTGACCTATAATTTTGTTGTGGATAATTTTGTGATGCCTCATAGTTCCCTCCACCTTGCATAGCACCCTGTTGACTATAGGAGGGATTGCCTGGCGGATTATACGATGGTCGTTGCTGATCATATCTTTGTTGGTCACGGTTCCTGTTATTATCACGGAATCTTCCGCCCTGCTGCCTTCCATACTGAACTGGGGGTGGTCTTGGTATGATTGTACCATTAATGTATTTGTCTCCTGATATTTATCAAAAACAACTTAAATAAATTAAAATGCCAGATATGGATGGACTAGCTCATTTGTTTACAACTCTCCAATCCAAAACAGCATAACTGGTTGAATCTGCTGATAAATTTGCAACCCGCTATTCTCAAAGAAAATGATCATTTAAATCTTACCTCCATACTCCTTGTTCTGTACATCAATGTAAGAATCTGGCAACACAAACACTACTCCAGGTAAACCTGTTAAACGTTGAACGGAGAAGTTAGCAGGATTCAAGACTATCATTTTCAATGGTAACGCAGAATGTTATCCAAAACTTACCTTCGAACTTCTGTGACTCTTCCTCGGACATCTCAACCTGAAAGCCTGTATATGTTGTAGTGCTACAAGCATACATCTTCTTTTTTGCCTCTTCCACACTGAATAACAATAAAACTTAAGAGAAGAAAAATCCAATGCATAAAGTACTGCTGCAAACATAGAACGAACCGAAAACACACCAAGAAAGTAGTAGCATCAACAGAATCGCATCCAGGACCCAGCAAATGGTTGATGAGTAATACATATATAGCCAATAATATATGTATAGTAAGACCAATCAGAATTACATTCGATAATCGGCAACTATAGAAAAGACCCGAAAAGAACTAACATCGTCACCCGAATTCATTCCCCTCCCCTTCTTTCTTTCTGAAAGTAAAATATTTCATAGGCAAGACAGTGCAACATCTTATCAGTTCCTTTAAGGGCTCGAGGCGATTACCCCAGAAACTACGCAACCAAGATCAAAATTAACAATTTCGTTCACAAATGTAATTTTACCCCAAATTTTCTTAGTAACCAAACATATTATAAAATCAAATACAATAAACATAAACACGTAGAGAGAGAGAGAGAGAAAGAGAGAGAGAGAGAGAGACCTGATGTTCAAGCCCTTAGCACAGGTCTCCTCATAATTCCTGATCATTTCTTCAGCCGGAGGCTTGTTGTCTCTCGGGAAATCCATGACGATCAGCCAGTGGTTGTAATCGCACCCTTCGAACAGTACCGTATGCGGGTCAATCTCGTCCTTTTGGTTGTTTCCGTACGACGAGGGCCGTGCGGAGGAGACCGACGACGACCTGAAAGTCCGAGACTGGAGGAGGAGCCTCCAGGACTGTTGCGGCGATGCAGGGGATTTTTCGGAGGTGGGGGCGCGAAGCAGAGGAGAGGAAGAGGATTGTAGAGCTGAGTGTGCGGAGGTTGCGGAGAGAGAGCGGTGGAGGGTGGAGAGACCGCTTAGGGTTCGGCGGAGGCGTAGAGAGCACAGCGCCATGGCTAGGGTTTTGAGAATTTTGGCCTGTTCGGGGTTTTAGAGAAGAAAAAGGTTCACTGCTCTGTGTGCATTAACCCCAAATCCCGCACGAGGGCATCATTTCTTCTTCCTAGAATTTCGGTTTTGCCCTTCATTTTTTTTTTTTTAACAATCGATTTTATCTATATTTTGAATATTCGATATTATCTACATAGTAGGAGTGATGTGTGTTTAGCCTCATAATGGACTAGCAATAATGTGGTTTAAATTTGTCATTGGCAAAAATTGAACCAATAACATCTCAAATATTAGTAAAGAAAAATATCACTATACTGTAGTACTAAGTGGTTGTTTTTCCTTTCAATTGAGTACTAGATCTTTTGGAGTTTTTCAACATGTTTGAAAATACTTTTAAATTGATTGAAAGTGTTTCTGAAATGGTTAAAGGTGTTTTTGATAAAATATTTTCTGAACTATTTTTTAGTAAAAATGCAATTAAACCTTTAAAAAACACTTGAACTTGAACTGTTTCATGAAAGAAACACTTTTTTCTTTGGTCAAGATTACATTTTGAGTCTTGATTTTTTTTAACGTAATATTTACAATAAAATCACTCATTTATAAGTGAAGATAAATACCACTAGACCCATATTAATAAGTAGTGGAGAATTTGATTTTTAATTAGTTGAATCTAAACCTATTAAACAAGTCGTATGTGTTGTGTTCATGTCAATCCAGTAAACTGTTACATGGCTCGTCTTGGTTCGCCCATTAAAATAATTTTCTTTTCACAAGCACTAATTTTGTGAGAAATTGAGAACATGTTCATAGAAATATCAACAAGTGAAGAAAAATATATTTTTCTTGTCAATCGACTTATTTTATGACACGTTAAGTACACACTTGAATACTGCATTATCAAGAAGAGTAAAAGTTATTATCCTAATGGTAATTTGGCCTTAAAAAAATTTTAAGAGAAGCAATTGAATAGCTACATAGTAGATGATGAACTATTGCAACAAATTCTGATATTATTCCTACCAGTTTCTTAAGTAAAAAGAGGACCGTTAGATCTTTTAAATTTACAAGAACGAATGACGGAAAGGAAGGATACGCTGCTTCTCCATGTGAGTACGTTGAAGAAGACTTGCAGCACCATACGACGCCGTCACATCCACACAGAGAAGGAGAGAGAGCACCGGCAGCAGCACTTCCGAACCTCAACCACCTCAGCATGAATACTCATTTCGAGTGCACGAGTATTAATCTGAATCGGTAAGAATGAGTGATTCACAGCCTCCTACTGACAGCGACGAAGACGATGAAGACAATGGAGTGGAAGAAAATGTGGACGCTGTATTAGATTTGTTTCAGAAAACATGAAGTTCTTGACTTGTCGGCCAAGAATTCAAAGTATTGTTTGACAGCTTAGCAAGTTGAAGGCTTCACAAGTATTTTTGGCGTTGTGAAATATAATTTTACGGGGTGTTTGATAATCCGTAACCAGAATCAACAAAAATCCAATTCCGACTCCTCCTCATTCAACTCCTCCTGATTTCAATTCCTACAATTCCGACTACGGATTAGTAAGCAAGGTCTTAACATTTAATGTCCTGTTAATCAATGTTAAAATTGATTCCCAAATCTGGTTTGAAGACATGTCCTTCACTTTTAAACTTAGAAACTGGGGGTACCAGCTCACAAGCACTTTTAATACAAGTACTTTGAAAAATCTGATGAAAACCAAAGTGCTTCGTGGAAAAGCATTTGGAAGTTTTTACTTCTTGAACCTTTCGCAACTCAAAAACACTTTTAATTATCTAAAAGCACTTCTAATTATTCTAAAAGCACTTCCAAACACAGAGAGAGATTCATAAAAGGGTGAGTTTAGAAGATACAAAGATCTCCATACCACAAACGAGAGTACAAAATCATTAAGCAACTCATATAATTAGAAACAAGACAACCTTATCCTGAAACAAACTAAAGCCAGATCCAACCAGCCAGCAGCCATCAAAACATGACGTCATCATGAGAAAGCTCAAAAGCACTTAACCAGTAAGCTCCTCTTCCTTGTGGGTCTCAAGTGTGACGTCAGACGACGGATAAGCCACACAAGTGAGCACGAATCCACCATCAATCTGCTCATCATCCAGAAAGCTCTGGTCCGACTGATCCACACCCCCACTCACGACTTTGCCGGCGCACGAGGAGCAAGACCCTGCCCTGCAGGAGTAGGGCAGGTCAATCCCGGCCTCCTCCGCCGCGTCGAGAATGTACACGTCGTCGGGGCACTCAAACTCTTGTGGCCCTTCTGGTGTGAGCAGCTTCACCTTGTAGGCAGCCATCGCCACACGCCCTCCGCGGTTGGCCTTGAGCCCGAAAAGGGCCTGACCGACGTTGGGGGATAACCGCAGGCTGGTCATTGGCTGGCCGCGGATGAAGGAGGTGCTGACCATGGTGCCTGAGAGAGCTGTGGCTGCCATGTTTGTTGGTTTGCTTTGGTTGCAAGGCTTGTTTGTGTTGTGGCTAAAGAGAGTGGGAGAGAAAGCCTTGGTAGTGTTGATAAATGGGATGGCTTGGGGAAGTAGTGTGGCTACAAATGAGAGAGAGAGGATGAAGTGGCATCAACCCTTATCTGCGACGTGGCAACATCCCGTGGATCATTCTATCTTTTTATTATCACCACAGGACCATAGAGTGAGTGAATGTGGCGGGCACAATCCTCCTCTGAACCAGGTTTTTGGTCTTCTTTCAACGGTTAGTGTTACCCGCACACAGAGTTTTATCCTAGTAACTCTCAAGGGTCGAAGGACGCGTTTTGTGTAATTTCACGCAAGGTGAACAGACTAAGACCACCATAACCTCATTTAATTAGATTTTATGTAAGCAATCAAAATCATCTTAATGTCATGTTTAGTTACAAGCTCATACTACTGGACCCGATAAAATTAATTAATTTTGGTTCTAAAATAAACTAGTAAATATTACAGAGGTTAACATCTCCTCTTGGTTTGTGGAGGTGGGATCGAAAAACATTTATGACCACATAAATTGACTGGAGATCACAAGATGTGAAATGAGCGTTTGGCCACACATACAACACTAGATCCACTCTTCCTACCTATAAAATTAGAGGACTTGTCCTTCCTCACACCACTGGTGGTTAAATTGAAGTTACCCAAGATGGGTTGAACTATACCATTATCTGTATAACAAACAAGAGGCTATCATTTTGAGTATTCAGATCCTCTCTAAATCTCGCAGTTCGGAGTTGACAGATCTCATAATCCAAACTATTCGAGAGAGGAAGAGGGAGAGAGATTCGAACCCCTAATTCTTGTAAGGTGGAATGGTAGTACGGTCTAACAGAGGCAGTAAGATTTAAGATGAGTAATCCAGATCAGTCAGTCCATGAACTCTAAAATCCGGAGAGGATCTAGATTTCGTTTTGAAAGCGATAATCTTAAGTTGAATAATTATGATACGGAGATTTATGTCAAGTGTATAGCAAATTTTGTACAATGCAGGTCGAAAAACAGAGCTCGTTTACGGCATGGAAAGGAGCAAAAATGCTATCAGCTCTTGCTGGAGATATGCTCATCCTTAATTTTCTTTATCGACACCGACAAAATATTACGGAATCAACTGTCATTCATACAAGTTACAAGAAATACTCGAAATAGATCGTGCAAAGATGTAAAGACACAATATGTGGTTTCAGACAATGATACTTATATATGCAAGGTACAGATGGAATCAAAATTCACAAGTCGTTACATAACTCAGAATCAAAGGTTCGTTTCGGAGAGTCCTTCCCCTCTTTTCCATCCATCCCAATGACATACAGACAGAGAGTAACGATGCACCTATTTGTAAAAGGTTGAAAAAAGAAAATAATGAAATAACAGGAGTTCGACATCCGCTAACTTAGATTATAAGACAATCTCTGCATCTAAAATTAAGGCTTTCACTTACAGCCGGGGAAAACAAAAAAATCTCAGGGCTTTCCCGAGTCCAGAGAAAGAATACATCCCCTGTCCGCAAACCCTGTGATTTCAGTCTGTAGTGGTTACTGGATCCCCATCCCTGACCATGTACCTCAACAACGGCCAATCTACTCAGAGAATCTCCATCAGGTCCATTTCCTCGAGGAGATGCTCTAGTCGCACTTGATATTTCTGTAGATCCTCCTTACAAACAAATTAGAACCCAGATATCCAACAGCTCCTGCACATTCGAAAAAGGAAACAAATGAAACACAGATTAAAGCATTTTTCTGGCACTTTTTACTTTTCTAGCGTTTATAAACAAGAGGCGTGGGAGAATATGGCACTCAGGAAGAAACATTTCTTCTTAGTAACTAGGAAACTAATGCTCAGGTCAAGCATATAGTTCAACAAATTAATGACAGCACCGTAAAAACGCCTTTAAATATATAGGTCAACAATATGATCGCCTACTTTCCAGCTGCCATGCTGGTTGGCTGGGAGCAAGAGTTGAGCAGAGAAAAAAAAAAATTGACATCTACGAATCCTTTAAGTGGAAATAAAAGTCAAGTTAGTGTAGAAGAGAAAACTCACCGCAAAGGATTCCTAAGCCAAGGCAAAACATCAAAGTGTATCCAAAATAGAAGCTGGTCTGGAAGAAACCCGACATCTTAGTCTTTGCATAGTAGTAATATATAGAATACAAGTACACGTAGACAGCTGTTGATGCAGCAGAAAAGAAAGAAGTCCATTGCCAGTGGTAGTTCTCAGCATTAAGCAAGAAGTATGTCCCCACAATTGTCACACACACGGTAACAATGATGAGAATCAGAAAAACAAGCAGCATAAATCCATAGACATAATACACCTGTTAAGACACAAAGATGAAGAAATACGTTAGCATTCATGTTAATCACTGTCATCACTCAACAACAATCATGCACTTTTGCCCCAATAGACTAACAACTTTCTAAACAATATAGAATCTTCTCATATGTGCTGTAACAGAACTTCAATGCGTCTTTCACGTACAAATGATTCCCATCATTGCTTTCAAGACATAAAATTCAGCTAATGAAACTCGTGACTTCTACAATTTTCACAAGCTTGGTGTCATAATGACCAACTATTGTTAAGTTGTAACTTTGTCTAAGGAATGGCATGCACTGCCAATGTTTGCAATGTTATTTGGTACTCAGATCTATTAATCAGCAAGTCTATACTATAAACAGCACATGGTTATCGCAATTTCACCTTGTAATTCCAGAAGGATGTGAAGACAAAATACATTTCGATAAATATGCTTCCAAAGGGCAGAAGTCCTCCCATCAATGAGACTACAGATGGGGTTAAATACCATTTCTTCTCAGGAATAGGACGAGGAATGGTTTTCACACGACAAGGATTGTTAGGAGCACCACTCCAGTTTCTTCCAACAACTGTACCAAGAAGTGCTAGAGGAAAAGAGATGAATGCCCAAATGACAAAAACAACCACCATTGTACCAAAAGGAATAGCAGCCAGTGACCCGTAAAATATAGCAATTGTGTTCAAGATGAACCCAATCCCAAAGCACATAAATGGAAATAGAGATGCTGTGAGTATCATTGACTTTATCCAGTTTTTACCTGATAAAACGAGGTGTAATATTTCAGAAATAACACAAGCTCAGAAATATCCAAATAAAGGTTGTAGTGATTTGTTAGAAGGCTTAAACAGAATGAATACCATATCTATCATATGAATTAAATTAAATACGTACCGCCATGTCTTGAATACATCCCACCACTTACATAACCAGAAATGAAAGATGTAAGGGCGTAACACACTATGAAAGTTGTAACAATTGCACCTCTCCTGAGACACCAAATAAAAAATGATGTAAGACATAATACACTATTAAAGTTATAGCAATTCTTCCCAGGTACACAAATAGTAATTAACTATTTAGCATGCAATATCAGATAACAAGCTAAGAGCTAAGACAGGGAAAGATTAATGTGTGGCGACGGCGCGACGCATAGCTGGCCTAATATTAATTACATCAACATATAAGTATGCAAGACTTATGTATTTATGATTCAAACATAAACATTTCGAAAATCATAAAAAAAATTTAAATAAAAAAACTAGGAAAGTGGAAAACCCAAAATAGCATCCCAAGTACTTTGAGCAAGTAGTCAACATACCCAACATACAACATCCCAACAATTGCCAGTAAGATGACAAGAAGAACAAGCAACGCTAGCTGAGCGCCCGTGCCAACAACAGCAGAAAGAATAACCAAATTACGCGAAGGCCGAAAAACATCCCCATGCACAAGTTTCCACCCAGACTCTTCACTGACATCTCTTTCCTACAATAGGCACATTTTCAAAAAGGGTTACCAGTCACCACACAAGGACGGTATCTATTGTATCTCTATCTACGTAGAAAAATAACAAAACATCTAAAAGAAGGATATGATATGATTAAAATCATTAGATCATACCAGAGTCTCCAGATCGTCGTCTTCCCGGGCATACTTCGCATAGTCATTCCTAAGAGTCCGCATCAATATCATTGACACCAAACCAGTAAGGAAAATAACCATCATGAATGAATTGAAAATTGAGAACCAATGTATCTGCAAATTGCAAAACGGTCATACAGCTAATTAAAAAACCAAAAAGAAAAAAGCATTATTAAGCAGCCAATGTTAAAATCCCTTGCAGACTTATTCTCCCGAATTTAGAATAATATGCTGTCAGCGTCAGAAATAAAAATAAGTTAACAAATAAACACATAATCAGTTGTTACTTGGTGCTCAAAAAAAGGGTAGTCCAAGTAGACATCAAATCGACGTGCAAATGTGATAGTGGTTGCAATCCATTTGACAGAGTAAGTTAGGTCCAATTTCTTCCCTGCTTCCAACGGCTTTGGACTATCTTGAGTGAGATTCACATGAATGATCTACAAAAATATAAACTATAATGAATATCATAGATCCTCAAGCCCACTATTAAAGCCACATCTGATATGGAGAATCACAAACCTGATCGTTATTGTATTTAACAATAATATTTTTATGCGTGTAAAGGACATGCTTGCCATTTTCACTGTTCTTGTCCTGGTGCAGCTCACCAACAAAGCCTAGAACGTCATGAGAAGATGAAGATCAATCTAATAGGATGATAACATACACGTGAGTTCAAAATTTGAAGGAATGAGTATAATGCATACCCCATAAAGGCAGATCATCTGAACATGCATCCAGCACAGCAACGTCCAGGTAAGATAATATGTTAAAGATACAAAATATAGGATTAGTGAATGCCCCAAACGAATTGACCACAAAACATAGAAAATAAACCCTTGCAGTAGATCCCCACAAAGATCTAGATTCCCAAACACATAATAAAGCTACTTTTCAGATAATTGTGAGCATTTCCTAAGTGTATAGACTCTATAATACTGTTCATGAAAATGTAATTAACACAAATTTCTTGTAGTTAAACATCAAGTTTCCTCAAGTTCCGTGTGTTGTAAGGTTATATTGAACT